GTGATATTTCTCGTCTGCAACCGGAGATGTTTTGCTGCAGGAATACTAGTATCAATGAATGTAACCTTTGTGACAGACAAAGATGTCGTGCCAGATTTACATACTGTAATAATTAACAAATTATAATTCTCGTAATTCTATATCAAATCAGAAAGCTCTTTTTATGCTGTGTCAATCTGGAATAATATGTAATTTTTAAGATCACTTTATATTAATATTTTTTATCAACTTACTCATTTTAATTATTCCTATTGCTACCATGCATCTTTACTTTACATAATGGACACACCAATAAATAGTGACTACAGTATAATTAGATAAATACAGATAAGTGTATATCAATTAATATTAAATATAAATAGGAATAATTATAATCCAAAATAAGTATATATGAGTTCAATAATAATAATAATAATAATAATAATAATAGCAGCTTGACTTTAGTCCAGATAACATCAATCTTTAAATATAAATACAAATAACTATATCCAAAATATATGAGTACAATAATAACAGTTGATTTTAGTCCATTATAAGTAGATAAATATTATATTATATTTATTGTCTAGGCTTTTATTTTTTATGAAAACTGGTAAATGTTTTATGGCTTTAAATTATTTTAAACCAGATATTTTTTTTGATATTATATTGGGCCTAATGACAAAAGAAAGAAATGATTTTGAAATATTATATTCAATTTCTAAATAATTAAATCCACCCAAAGTGTACTATATTCTCATTATTTTGTTTCCAGTTCGAGGAAATTGATTTTCAAATTTGATTGTATTCGTTAGAATAGTAATTTGATTTTTCTTGTAGTTACGCTAATGTATGTGTAGGCTAAATTGTAATTATATACCACTTTGTTTCCATGGTAATAATGTGATGTTCACTTGCTTAAAAAGACTCGGCACCATACACAATACTGTTTATTTTTTAATACGAAATACTGTTGTTCAGTTTGATTCACTTTATTTAGTCAAAAGGGTTAGGGATTTCCAATAGCGATTATTTAACTGTTGTACGTATATAACTGACACTCACTTTCACAAACACTACACGTACCGTACAACACAGTCATGTACGCATGTACACGGACTCAAACAGGAAGAGGATTTGTCAGTGAAATGTCGTACTCGTTTCTGAATAATTTATGTGCACAGAACCATTATCTACATTCGACCAACAATTTAACATTTCATTTGAAGGACAGGTAATTATGGGCATAGCATGGGGGTGAGGGCATGTGGATTCACCCTCCCCCCCCCCACAAAAAAAAATGACCATTAATTTTTCATTGTAATAAGGATTTAGTTTTAAGTTCTCATTTTTTGCACCCCCAGGCTCAAACCTGCCTATACCCTTCAGAATAATAAAAATTATCAGAATAATATTTAATAATATGATTAAATCTTAAATAATTAATGATGAATAAATGAGAGTGTGACAATACCTGGTACAAGGTCATTTTCTTGGAACTTGGAAATTGATGGTACAATTAACCTTTCTTGCTATTATGTCATTATAAAAGCATCTGCCTAATTTCCTATTTATTTATTATTTATTTTTTATACTTATTTTTTGTGTTTTTATACTGTATATTTTTTAAATTTTTTTTTAAGCAATTTTTTTTATATTGTATATACTTTTGTTATGTTTAAACTGTACCACTTTGAAAATCAGTGTAATATACTGAAAGTGCCTACAGTATAAAGAAAGAATAAATAAATAAAATAAATAAAAATTGAAAAAAGGAGCAAGTTGAACCCACCAGCAGTAGTGTATGTATATTAACCTGAAGTCATTTGAATATCTACTGGTTAATAAAATGATCAATTCCTATTGGTATCTATAAAAATCATAATGATATATATTTTATATATAATTTATTATAATTTATGAAAAAAATTTTGGATGAATAAAAATTTTAATGTACTTGGAGAATTACAGTACATTGATTCGATCAAAGGGAAGATGGCTCCTCTGAGTTGTCATGAATTATTGCAGCTGCCCCTTGTTGTTTGATTATGTTTTTTGTTTTTGGTCATATAAATGGAATGAAATCTGAAAAAAATGATGAGAAATACTGTTGTGTCAGTGTTAATATGAATAAATATTATATTCAAATTCAAATTAAACTTATTGCAATTGTAAATATATAGTGATGAGATGAAACAATTTACCATAGAAGAATAGATAAAAACATTCAAAAGACATTACATCCAAAGTGCAAGACAAACACCAATCTTTAGGTGGGAAAAACATCAAAAATTTAAATTAAGAAATCTCATGATTTAAATAGGAATAAAATAAATTCAATATTCTACATCAAAAATTATAAAATAAATATTATAGATGAGTAAATATAAATTGAACAGGAATAAAACAAATTATTGTTGATATGAATAAATATATATGAATAAATATAATTATTATAGATGAATGAATATAAATTAAATTTTAATATTACAATACAACAAATTATTGTAATATGAATAAATATAAAATGATTATAGATGAATAAATATAAGTTAAAAAGTAATATTGCAATAAAAAAAAATCAGTATGATATTATTCAGGTGTTAATACCCATGCTTGAATTATTCTTCATAATCTTTAATCTGTTGTTCAGTAAAGATACATTGATATAATAATAATAATAATAATAATAATAATAATAATAATAATAATATTAATAATGATGAACAAACATTTGTTACATGCCAATTTCAAAATAAATGATCAAAGGCGTGAAAGTATGCATGGAACATGGATTGAATAAAGTAATGGAGTATTATGTCTATTATGTTCCCTAATTTGGAATTTAGGTATCATTGTATGCGCTGTTTATAGATCGCTGTGTTTGCTACGGTTCTTCGTAAACAAACTATGTCATTTATTGCCCCACCGTGAATGACTATTTACGTTATGTGATACACGCGTCTCAGTGACATGTTAAGTAATCCAGCATATTACAGCCAATATAAACAAACAGCTATCTATCTATTCATTGTATCACGGGCCATTGTCGTCCTTGCTAAAGTACAGGGTATTAGGTATTAGGCCAAGTAAAACAAAAAAGTAGTTTCTCGTCCTAATGTTTTAAAAAAAGGAAAGTAAAGGGCACTTTCTTTTTTTCACTACGAGATGAGAAACAGCTACACATTAAAAGTAAATAAAAGAAGCATTAGACATGATTCATGCCATATGTATCACCAAATACGAACGAAAAATAAAGGATATAAAAAAAAAATATTGATGGCCAAAAAAAAAATGGATACACAAGTGGACAAGAAACTATTAATTGTTTTTATTTGGCCTTATGGGTTTATACTTGACATTGGTAAAATCATGCATTATGGTAAAAAATAAAAAAAATAAAAAGAACAACATGCAGATACATACTAGTATCTTCAATTCAACCCTACAGTAATTCCACATGTTTATAATAAACCAAGTAATAAATACTTGAAAAAACCTAGATAAATTATCATTTGATATAACTCCTTTAAAGAATAATTTATGTTAACAACGTCTAAGAGTTTTTATTTTAACATTGGTATATGGTGTTCTACGAGGAACAATCATAACAAATAAAGTTTTTGCAGAAAAATATTTTTCAAAAATTTGTACTTACAATTTACAATATTTATTAGATATCACTTTTGCATAGAGGCACACACAAAATACCAAATGGTGTATACACGCAAAATGAACAAAACAGAGATGAAAAGAAATTGTATCTAATTAAAAGCAAACAGTACAAGATAATGAACTTACTTCAATATACTATTAGATAAGTAATTCAGACATTAAATTTATTTGAAATGTTTATTCTAATCCTTTAATTTAAAGCTGAAAACTTTAAATCTACAGCAATTCAAATTTTATTTTCTCCATATTATCTCCATGCAGACATAGCTTTAAGCTGTCTAACGAAGCATCCATAGGTCTACAAATCCATACATATTGTCTCAAGCCTTAATGTTATTTTCTTTAAAAGTTTAATCACTATTCTGTGTATCTCGCGATTCTGGATTACTGCCTTGCAGTAGAATAGAGCTGTATGTATGTCTCGGTTATATTGTTTATTAATCAAATGTATGAATATGATTACTATGTACTGCATGGTGAAAGAGCATTTATAGTTACAGCCCGTAAGGTGTGGAACAGCCCTAGGAAAGAGCTGTGTATGTTTTGTTTATGTTGTTTTATTTACGAATATAATAGTAAGTACTGCATGGTAAAAGAGCATTCATAATTAAAGAGCATTCATAGTTACTGCCCATAAGGTGCAGAATACCCCTTGGGAAAGCGCTACAGTATGTATGTCGGTATGAATATAAATATTGTTTGAAGATTTGCATAGTGAAGAAATAATATATTAATGCTTGCGGTACACCACGTAGCTAAGTTCTGAAGAACTATTGTTTGTTGACAACGTTTTGCAATTAAGTTGCTCTAATTGTCTTCAGGAGGATAACTTTTCAGAACTATTTACGTGGTGTACCGCAAGCATTGATGTATGAATATAATTAGTAAGTACTGCATATGGCAATGGAGCGTTCGTAGTTACTGCCCATAAGCTGCGGAAGAGCCTGTCGGATGCCGTTTAACAGCCACCATTAATCAGAATTTTTAAGATGTTGGTTGAAAACCCATTTTTAAAATTTAAAGTATAGTCTAAACACTTTTCTGTCAGTGTTGCACATTATTATTTAATAGTTGCCCACGTCATTATGACATACAGTACCGTGAAATAATTAGCTGTCTGGCTTCGCATCTTTTTGAATCATAGTAAATAAACAATAATAATAATTTACATTTATGCAGTATAGCACATATTGTGCAATGCTTCTTTACAACAAATTATAAGACAAAATCATGATAACTTAACAACAGTATAATAATGTGTAAGATGTTAGTATTTAAATAAATAAATTTCCAATGTTGTATTATAATTTGAATTAAAAATAATATTTCTCAATTTTGTTTATCAGGTGACCATCTTGAATCCAGCTCATTGGTTAATCCCTCTTACAATGCAAACAAGATGTCACCATCGGATTCTTTAAATGCTAACAGCACTCCGGAACTTTCTCGTTGTCAGGACTACGAACAACAATTTAGTAATTTAAACATTGACCAAACAGCACGAATTATGGACTTAGCTGCGAAGAAAAACGGTATTGTAATTTCAAATACAGGAAAAGTCCGTAAACCTTTTACACATAATGGACTAGTCAAGGCAGAGAGCAAAAACATGAGTGACAGTGAGGATGAAGGGCCAAAGAGATTGACCGTCGCTGATGATAACATTATACGGGAACAAAACAAAATTAAGGCAGAAGCGATGTTTGCTGATATAGAATTTATAGATGATGGTGATGATGATGATGAAGAGGAGGAAGATGAGGAGGAGGACGATGACGATGATGAAATTGACTGTGAAATCAAGAAAGACGATGAACCAGAGAACCCAACTAAGAAAGCTAAAATATTAGAAGAAGAGTCGAGAAAAGAAGTTGAGGAAATTGATGAAGATGAAGATGATGATGATGATGAGGATGAGGATGATGAGGACATCGGACCTGTGAGCGAGGATGAGGCGGAGGAGTCTGACCGTTACTATGGCAAAGACCCTGATGCGGATGTTTTATCACCGGAAGAGAAGTTCTCCGGGTCAAAACTTTCAAGTTTCATGGATTATTACGCTGCTCTTGAATCGCAGATTGTCGCTGAAGCTAATCACAATATTGTGCGCAACGATGATTCAGACGAAAGCACTAGCGATGATTCGGATGTTGAAATTGATACGGTCAACGAAGGTCTGTATGAGCTCATGACACAGACAACATCGTTCGGCTCAGGACCGTCTACAATGGATGAATCCAGCGATACAGAATCGACTTACGCCATGTTGTATAAAAGTTTCGGTCTGCGATCTGAACAGGAGGGTCACGGTACAAAAGATTTACTTTCGCCGGGAAGCAATGGACGGGATCATGGATATTCAAGCGAAACGTCTATTGATGATAAATACTCACCGATGAGACAAAGCAGTGTTGAGGGCGGTAAACCTGCACTTAGTTCCGTGGAAGAGAACGCTTTGTCTCCTTCGGTTGAGTTGGACCTAATTCAAGGACTGCAGCGGTATAAAAGTTTAGACGAGAATGAAGGTCGCACGCCATTTACAGATTCTAGCTCCAAGCGGCCAACCTCACTTCCACCTGGCTGGGAGGAGTGTGCAGACTCCGAGAGGACATACTACTGGCACGTACCTACAGGAATCACACAATGGAGCCCGCCCTCGCCATCTGATGATTCATCCGAACCCCTTGCTCCTAAGAAGCCAGCCCGTTTGGTGAGTCTACCTTTCAAAATTATATTCTTATCAATCAATACTTGCTCTTTTTATTATGAATTAGGCCTATACTGTTTTATAAGATAGTATAGCGAAGTGTTGTTGATAGAGATTATAATGATCATAATGATAATGACAAGGATGGTGATAATGATGAAGACAAGGGTGATTATGACGACAATGATGACTGCTTTTAGTATTATAATGCTGATGAAGAAATGACGTCAACAATATGATGATGGTCGCCATGAGAGTGACAACAATGGTTACGATGATGACAGTGGTGACAACAATCATCATTACATCAAGATGATAATTGTGGCAACAATGAAAAGATGATATTATTGTTCATTAATAAATTTGAAGAACAATGGTGAAGATAGAGAAAAGTTTATTTGAATCATTTGAATAATAATATTAATAATAATAATAATAATAATAATAATGTTAGATTTATATATTGCATATTGCACATTGCCCCTATGCGCTTTACACAAAATATAAATAGGGCCAACCAAGAAAAAAAAATGATAATGATAAAAATAAGATGATTATGATTTCTTAAAATTTTTATGATGTTCTAAAGGACATCTGTACTATTTGATAATTATTTAAAATCCTAAAATAATATGTTGGCACCATATGGTCTTGTCTGCTTCAAATCATATTGCGGTGGAAACTATAGGTTACATTTTAAGCTGGCAATATAAAAAATAGTCTTAATTGAATTATCTATACAATTACAATCACCATCAACATCTGTCACATGCATTACCAAAACACCAATAAATCTTAAGCTGGAAATATTTAGAAGTAATTAACACATGCTTAACGCTTGTAGTAATTATCTGTACTGGTTGTGTCAAATATTTGCGCAAATCATACAGTAGACAGTTGCTGACATGAGTAAAAGCAAGACTTTTTAAAAACATTGTAACTTATGTTTTTGAAAGTCCTCAAAGGAGGGCAAAAAAATAAAAAAATAAAACTTTTTTTTTTTAATTAGCAAAATGGTTTTGCCAAAAACATCTAGTCGAAGGAGAAAATAAAAATAAAATTTCATTGGAGAATGTGAATAGTGTAGTATGAGATTGATAAATGCTATAAATTTATTGTAATTAATTAGGAAATACTGTATATAAAACTTATTTTCAGAGATTTTACTGGAGTGGAGGACATTATAAAAAAGTAAACAAAATTGTTTATTTTTTTCTGAAATTTCCGTTTTTTTTTGTTTTTTTTTTGTGCGAGAGGGTGCGCTAAGTTTATTTTTATTTGAAATCACCATTATTGGCAGTCGGAGAGTTTGCTAAACAAGATATACAAAAATTCTTGCCTACGATGCAATTAAGTTATTATTCTACAATCAGCATGCCCATAGGCCTATTTTCATAGTATCTACCACCGCCTTCTGACTAATTTGTGCAAAGGAATCCTTAATGACTATAGAACCATATGAGGCATGTTGTGGCAAAATGGCTAAGTTGTAGCAAAAATTGAAATTCAAGTTATTGGTATTTTCAAATACCAGAGTATGTGATCTTTAAAATGAGGGGTCATTCAATGAAATTGGACATTTAAAGCCCAAGTTATTGGAATGTGAAAGTACAGCACTCTTAGAGTCAAGATAAACATGATTTTGAGTAATTGCCTTCCAAAGTTATTTGTGCATACATTGTTTAATTGAATTAACTATCTAAATAACGTTAAATAAATGATTTGTTATACTTTGGGACATGATTAATAAGACATTAAACTGTTGATCTATAGTGAAAAACAAATTTGGATTTTTTGGCAATTTTTTGAGCTCCCATATTTTATAGCTCATTTACTCAATACTGGCCTGTGCGACAACTTAACCATTTCACCACGACATGCCTCATGTTATGTTTTTTTTTGTTCAGTGAGTGGGTATACTGTGAGGAATGATTAAAAGTCTTATCATATATTCACATATGGGAAATGAATATACATGAGTAATGATCATTCATGCATATTTAATATGGCTTCATAGTTCATATGCAATTAAAGCTTAATTGGGTTTTTAACATTCTCACTAAATATAAATTATTTTAAATGTAGCTCATTGAGTGTACAATATTTTAAAAGTAGGATTCAATACTTATTACTATGGTGTGAGTGAATTTATTGGTACTAGAGTTTCAAAAATATTCTTTACCACAGCAAAATGAATATGCTTGAATAATGATTATTTCCTATTTAGTCTTTTTCTTTTAGTTCCTAACCTTCTATTAGCTTTTAATAGCTCATTGAGAGTATAAATAATTTCAAAGTAGAATTCTTATTGACCTTATTACTGGTGAGTGGGTGTAATGCTGCCAGTGACCATAGGAAACTGATATACATGAGTAATAATCTTTGATATATCTATTAGAAAAATAATTTAGTTAAAAAACAATTTTATAGCAAGTAACTAGCTTTTTTTTTTACATTTTATTAAAAGTTATAAAAGATATGTTATATAATTAGATAATTAATTAGTTATATAAATAGAATCAGAAGGAAAAAAAATTAATTATGTAAAATAATAGCTCCCAAGTAAATAGTAGATTTCCTAATAAGCAACCAATTCTATCCTGTAGAGACATACTTGGGATTGATCACTTCCTGTGATTATATACTCCCATGTGTATTCAATATCTCAGGTTAATACATAATATAGAGGAATCGATCAGTATATTACCAAACAATTTTAATTTGTAAAATTTTCCATTTTACCCTAACAATTTCTTTTTAAATGTATGTATTTTATAATCAAATTTATAGTGATAAATACAAATGATCGTTCATTTATAAAATATTGATTTTGTGGTTTAGATAAAAATTCAAATATGGAGAAGTATTAAAACCAAGGTTCTAATTGAAATAATTGTAGTAGAAGAAAAACAATCAATTGTTAATCATAATAGAGTGGTGGACCTACTACAGTTTGGTGGCTAAAGCAATGTCCAGACAATAACATTTTGACAGAGATGTGACATGCCTGAATATGGTCATGGTGACATCACCTCATGACCATATATAGGCACATGACTGTATGGACATATATCAATTTTTATTGTCATAGAAAATGCATTTGTCGAATACAATTTGATAGTCTACAAGTTTTTATATAATTGCTGGTAGAGTAGAACCTACATTTCTGGATGCACTGTAATTGTACTTTTGATAATATAGTTCATATTCTTAGGGGAGGCATGGTTGAACATGCTAATGGAAATAATTTCAAAATGAAATTGATCATAAATAAGTTCCTTTGTGGTCTTTAAAATACATTACTGTACTTTTGATAAAAGTTCATAATCTCAAAGATAGAATAATACAAAAGTATATTAAAAAAAAAAAATTTTTATCTAGTTTTTACCAATTTAAATTATTAAAAAAGAATACATATGTCATATTTTAATGTTGGACTAATTCATTTGTGACTTGTGCTTTGCATTGTCCTTCCTTTTCTGAAAGGAGCAACATTCCAAGGATAGCTCTGTACTTTCTTTTAATTTTTGGAACAAAGGCTTATAATCCATTCACTAGCATGTACTGTAAATTTTACAATTTTATCACAACACATTACCATAATATAAGACCAGGCTTAAATTAGCAAATTGCGATTGAAAAACATCATCGTATACAAGTTTTCAGATTTTTAAAATTATGTTCGTCTTTTGTGCGGATCGTCCTTAATATACACATTTACTACTGCAATGAAGCTACTAAATGTTAGTATGAATGAATGCAATTTTAAAATATGGGGAAATAAGATTCTGATTTAAATTCTCATAAAATGGTATTATTTTGAAAATTAAGACCTGCTAATATGAACTTTGCCAGGTCTAGACCTTAATATGGTGATTTGAAGGGTGATTTGCAGGCTTTGGTCTCAGTCGATCATATTGGAATACATAAATTCTCCAAAAACTTCTCAAATTCGGTGGTCATTACGCGAGTATGCGCTACCAAATGATAATCTCAAAATAGCTTCAAAATCATAATAATTATTGAGTATAAGTACTCTTTCAAGAGGGCTTGTCATAAGGCAATACAAGTTTTGTATCTGAAAAAAATGTCCTGGATGTTCCCATGAATTTGTATTATAACATTGGAGATGTATTTTCCAAACATACCAGTAAAAATCATTTTGCAGTAACATAAAAATTATCAACTTGAAAATAGAAGTTAGTGTATTTAAAAAAATGTTTACCCATAATTTTACAGTGAAAAATTATAGAAACACTTCTAGTCACTGGAAGTTTTTTATTATTTTTATTATAATTAATTTTTAAAATCTTGGTATACATTTTTAAAATTCAATAATTTCAGTGCTCAAGTTATTAATTTGTATGTTACTGTAAAATGAGCAAGTTAATTTCAAATTTTTTTTTAATGATTTTTTTTTCATTTTCAAGGGAGAATACATATTTAATTTATATCAAAAATATTTAAAAAGGCATAATTTCAGAAAAAAGAAAAAATGTTCATTTTTTTACCTCATATCAAATGAGATTTCTAAAGAGAGTTGCTGTTTGTTGAGAAGAGTAAAACGTTGGAAGATGAAATATGAGCAATTTAGAATTTTAATATTCTGTACTATATGCAAGCAATATCAGATTTTAATATGAATATTCCTTACATGCGTGTATCTGTACACGTTGGTGCATGAACACTCGCATAATTGCTTGCGTGACCCAGAATCTATGATTCCTTGACCTTGTTATTGTTATCTTACTTGATTTATTTATTAAAGATTAATATTTAATGTTTTACTCATCTTCAATTTTAATAATTTAAAATATGGCTTTTCATTTTATGTTAACGATCTGTTTTGTTATGATTTACATCTGTCATTTTAGTTAGATGGCACAAGTTTGTTTCATTTTAGGATTTGAATATCAACTTATTTTCCTTAATTTTATTTAATTTCATTAAATATCTATAAAACTCCCTGTTTATCTTGCCTAATTTATTTATTAAAGATTATT